CTTTCTCCCGCGGAGCAGCTGGTAGTTTCGAACCGCTGACCTTAAGGTTCGCAGCCCGATTCGTAACCACTACGCTACCAGAGCTCCTTACTAGTGAATGTAAATACTATCACTTAAAACTACAGCGTGTAAAAATCATATAATGGAAGAACCTGCCCTGGAACAACTGCTTGGAGTCAATTCCAGCTCAAGACAATCCCATGTGTGCCAGAGTAGAACTGTGCTCCATAGATTTTTTAATGTCTGATTTTTTTCAAAAGTAAATCATCAGGTCTTTCTTCCAAAGCATCTATTGGTGGTCTTAAACTGTCAACCTTTCAGTTAGAAGCCAAGTATGTTAACTATTTTGTATGATCCAGGGACTCCTTACCATTCACAGCATCCCTTTTTCTGAACCCATGTCACTCTCCTGCCCCAAGCATCCCAATGAAAATTAGATCTGTTGTTTCTATACAACCTTATGACTTGGAACCAATTTCTACCATCGCCTCTTGAAGGGCCCTGTTTTCTTATACATTCTTCTCTCTATGTCTCTTAATTGGTGCATTTAATCCATTTATATTCAGTGTAATTATCAATAGGGATGAATTGATTGTTGTCATTTTGCTGTGTGTGTTTTTGTTGTTGCTGTTGTTTTTGTGTGGCGTTGTTGGTTTCTTGATTCTACATCCTTTTCTGTGCTGAGTTCACTTTATTTGTGGGTTTTCTTTCCATTTTCATTTCTGTTGTGTTATTGTTTACTAAATCTTTTTTATGTTTCTTTTTTTTATTTTTAGACAAAGGTATATTAATTTTCTTTGAAGTTATCTTGTTTACTAATTTTTTCCCTGCTTACGACAATCTGTTTTATCTTGAACTCTACTTGACTCCTTCACCATTTGGAAGTTCTGCATCTGTACTATTCCCTCTTTTTGCTTTGTGGTTAACTTTATTATGCATTGATATTGCTCTCTATTTTCAGTCTTGTAGGTTTGTTTTACTTTAAATTCTTCTATACATGGATTGGATGTTTACAGCTCTTTCTCTTCATCTTGAGTTGTAGCCCATCAGCAGATGAAGGTTCTGTGTACTTTTCTCACCCGAGCTTAAATCTATTCACGTCATCGTGGTCAATTCTACTTTGAGGAGGCATTTGTTTCCCCAGTCGCATTCTGAGTGCCTTTCCATCTTCCAGTCCTATATCTGACAGTGTTTCTCTGCTATTCATAGGGTTTTCAGTGACTAGCAATTTGGAAGTAGTTTGCCACTCTTTCTTCCTAGTCTGTCTTTGTCTGGAAGCTTATCTGAAACCTGTCCACCATGGGTGACCGAGCCGGTTATTTAAAATACCGGTGGTATAGCCCTCAGAATCACACAACTCAAGCCACCACAGCACGACAGACAGACAAGGGGTAGCTGTTTGGTTTTATGTTGATACTGTCACTTTAAATTTCAATGTCAATTCTGATACAATCAAGATACAATCCAGATGTTCTCTTCTGATACTATCAATCCTAATACAATCAAGATGTTCTCTCCCAAGATGGCGGCTCCTAGAACAACTGAGTGTCTTGATCTAGAATACAATGGATTTCTGGATTCCCTTCAAATTCCCCAACTGTAACCCTCCAATCCTCCAAACATAGCTTTATATTTGTTTCAGAGTTCCAACATTATCTCGTGAGCCCTCTAGGCCCAGTGTTCTGTGTTGTTATTGACTGTACTCTGACAGAACTTAGGATTTAGTTTTCGGCCTATTTCCTTTTTCTGTCTGCCTGTCCTGCCCCACAATCCCCATTCAGGGCTTCTCTCTAGTGATAAACAGTTCAGGC